AAAACAATATGTGTACTACTGTTTCATGAGAAACTATTTGTTCTGTAAGCCTTCACCTGAAGTACAATAAATAAATAAATAATTTTAAAAAAAAAGAAGATCCCTGATCCAAGAGTATGGGAACCAGGTATGGGAAAGAAAAGAAAGGTACAGAGAGGACAGTGATCTAAGCTTGTGAGGTGAAAGCAGGGATGGCTGAAGCCCCTCACTCTGTCACAGTCCTTTTATGTGGGGCAGTCATGGGATCAGAGATATGAGTAAGTTGAGAGAGAGAACTGGGAATTAATTCAGCAAGAGAGAGAAAGCCCAGGTTCCCATCTGCATCTTTCTTCCCCAGAGAAGCAAGAGGGTCCTGGATGACATGAGATTCAAACTCATCCCCACCATGACTTCTGTTCTTGAAGCACTTCCAAACTCCAAGCAGATATTATTCAAAGAAAACTTTATTTGTTGAAATACGTTTTGGCCGTGCAGGATTCCACAGCTGGAAGATATACAAGTATGGGCTTGGGGAGCTGGGTAAAGTGTCAGATAATTGTAACACAGGTCTGTAGGTTCATGTCAGAGCTGCTTCTTCCATGACACATGCTAAGTAACCACTGGTTCAATTTTAAACATCTCACACAGCATTGGTATTCAGTAAATATCTGCTTAATGCAATAAAAATGAACAAACCCCCTAGCCACTCTTCAAGCAATTCGAGGGTTAGTCAGTTTATAAGCTTGTGAATTAAAAAAAAAGTCTCATTGTTCAAGTATAAAAATAAATAAGTTAAATAGCAAAAATAAATATATAAAACAAATAAATATACCCCAAAGTGGAAAAGATAGTACAAAAATATTGTAAAATTCAGTCTAAAAAGTAAGATTAGGAACTCATGAAGACAACCACAATAAAGAACCAAATAATAAATAAATATTATACATAGTGACCAGCACTAAATTGTATCAAAAGAGATGATGGTTCTCGGTCGCACCTCAACGAGTACTAAAGACTGGGACTCTTGGCCAGGAATACTCTCAGCAGCAGCATCAATTTACTCCTATTTTGTCTCCTCCGTCCATTGCAGAAGAATGTCTAGCTCCCCACAAGGCCTCCACCACTGCTGCCCAAGGCTCAAGCTGAAAGAGACACACACATGTGGTTAGCAACTCATAAAGAGACATCACTTACTTTAGGGTTAATCCTCTCTTCTCATTGGCAGGTCTGTTGGGACTTATGAGCAGTGCATTCTGGGTCTTGACATACTATAGAGATTGAAAAACGTTATAGAACCTCTATATCTTATATGAGGAAGGAAGGTCATTGAGTCCATCACCCTGGTCTTACATAGGGAAACAGAGGACCAGAGGGTAGCAGAATTGGGACTGCAACCTCAGCCTCTTGAATCACAGAGATCAAAATAATTAGGCTGTTTCTTTAAGGAAGGAGTGTGTGTGTGTGCTCGTGACTAAGAATTCAGAGATGAATGGGACAGTCTCTACCTACAAGGAACTCACAGTCAATGAGGGAGACTGGCAGAAACAGGCAATTAGAATAAATAATGGAGTCCCCATGGGATGACAGGGGAGGCACCTAACTCTGAGGGAGGCAGCCAGCACCTTCCTGGAGGTGACTCCTAGACTGAGTTTTCTAGGATGAATAAGAGTTAGTCAGTGAGGGCTGAGTTCCAGGCCTTCCTGGCAGATGTGCAAAACTTTGGTGAGAAACAGCATGGCACAGGCATGTGTGAATTTGGGAGTGTTTTTGAAGGTAATGTGGAAGTGTGCGAATGTTGGAAAACTGTTGTCTCTAGTTTCTGCAGCTGGAAGATCCAGAAATCTCTGGAGTGACTTGATGGAAGCATGGCCTTTCCCCTTCACTTCCCAGAGCACTATCCAGTGTGAGCACCCTTCTTGAGTCTGGAAGGGTGTCCCCTAGATTAGAAGCAGAGGGATGGTCCATATGCCCTCAGAGAGCTATTAACCTGAGGGCTACAGGATTTTCACCAGTGTGAACATCCATCCCCTTTATGAGCTCGGTCCTAAAAACACACCCAACCCAAATAACACCAAAATTGCAGATACCTCTTTGAAGTGACTCAGAATCTCACTGTATTTCTCCATTGCTTCTTCCCCACAATGGCATGTCATGTGGTCATGCTGAAAAGGACCCAGAGAATGATAGATTTTATTAAAGATTCTGATTTTCTGCCCTTGCCATTGTTATAAACCCAAAACCTATTGCCATCGAGTCAATTCTGAGTCACAGTGACCCTATAGGACAGACTAGAACTTCCCCATAGGGTTTCCAAGGAGCAGCTGGTGGATTTGAACTGCCAACCTTTTGGTTAGTAGTCTTAGCTCTTAACCACTGCACCACCAGGGCTCCATTGACATGAAGTAAGTAGAAATTCTACACTTTCACCCACATCACTACTGATACTCCATTTCTATAGAAAAGTCCTTTCAGACCTCATCATTTGGGGTCATTAAACTAATCATCAGCTTGAACAGGAAGCCAGCTTTTAGACTCATATATGGAGCTCATATTTCTTCCTTATAGAAACAAACAGCACTGGAGGAGTTTGAGATTTGTTGCCTTCATTGAGCACCATCTGGCCTCTGCATCTCCACTCCAGATCTAGTCTGAGCCCCCATGGGAAGAGACGATTGGATTCCAAGGTCCTATTCAGATTCTGTTCTGAGACTGAGTCCAATGCCTGCTAGTTGGCTGTCCTGGACACAGGATACACTAGTGTACAGAAGGATATCTCACCTACAGAAGAAGTATAACTTCCAGGATGATAGAAAATTGTCACAAATATCAAATAGCTAGCAATTGTATAGTTCTTCAGACTTTACAAAGTATTTTTTGCATAGAGCATATACTCAAAAGTCAGTACAACTTATTACATAGTCACATGGCTTATCACAGATCATTAGAAATTTTGAACTTAGTTTTTCCATCCATTAAATGGGGGTAGGAAAGACAGCATGGTTCTTAAGCTATTGGAGCTACGTGCTGTGATGGATCCTATTACCCAAGACCCATCCTCACACAGAGCCGGAGGTCCCTCTTGACGGTAAGAAAAGAGTTGGCGAGACTGCTAATCTTCCGGAGGGTGTGGTGGTCAGGGGTCTGGTAGTTTTTGAATACTCTGTCCAGGTAAAGTCTCTGTAGATGACGGAGGAAGCAGCATCGACCTGAAGGCTGCAAAGAAGACAAATGTGTTGAGAAGAAGCAGGGACAAGATCCAGTGTTGTGGAGATGCCCTGATACATACTCCCAGAGCTCAACTGGCCCAAGCACATACCTTTGTGTCTTGCAAAGACACAGAGCTCAAGATTCTGATGTCAATGTTTCTGTCTTCAGCTTGCTAAACAGAAGAAAGCAGGACAAGAAAGTGTGGGTCATTCCAAGATTAATTTTCTGGGTTTGAAAGCTTAGGATCATAGTCTCATAGGACAACTCAGTCAATTGGCAAAACAAAAACCATGATCTGCATCCTAGTGAAGTGAGTAGCATCTGGGGTCTTAAAGCTTGTGAGCAGCCATCTAAGACACAACTACAGGTCTCTACTCGCCAGGAGAAACAGTAAGAAGGTAACCAAAAGCTCAGAGAAGAAACAAATCTACACAATCCACAACTTCATCTACCCTGAGACAAGAAGAACTAGATGGTGCCTGGCTACCACCACTGACCATTCAGACTGGGGTCACGATAGATGGTCCTGGATAGAATGGAGGAAAAATGTGGAGCAGAACTCAAATTCTTATTAAGAAAAAAAAAAAAAGAAAAAGCCAGACAAATTGAAACAGTAGAGAACAGAGGACTCCCTGAGACTATCGCCCTGAGACATTCTTTAAACTCAGAACCAAGACTATCCCCTGAGATCACCCTTTAGCAAAACAGAAGAGTGACACACAAAATAAAGGATATAACCCATAAAATCGGTGTACTTACACCCCATCAGTATGAGACCAAAAGGTCAATGATTACTCAAAAGCAAAGATGAAAAGATAAGGGAGCAGGGAAAGTAGAGTTCTGGAAATGGAATAAACAGAACACAATTAAAGAAAATGTTGACCTATTCTGATCAACTTAACTAATGTCACTGAACACTTTGTGCAGAAATTGTCAAACGGGAACTTAACTTCACAAAAGACTCAATAAAATTTAAAAAAAAAAAAAAAGGTCAGTGACTGTTACCAGTGTCTTAGACATCAAGCACGTGGTCCTCTTGTTCTCTCCCTGCCAAAGCCCAGTGAGAGGCGTCCCTTTCCAAAACACTATTACATTATGAACTACAGATATTTCTTGGGAATGCATCCTTCTGGTGAGGAATGCCCAGCCTTTTTGTGGTCACACTATCAAGAAAGCAAGACCAAAAAAAGTAGAGAAGAGGAGCAGCAGCCACAAGATGAAGTGGGTGCCTTCTTTACATACCACGCTGCCCCATATCTCAGAAAATTCATTTCTTATTTTCTGAAGCTCTGTGGAGATCACACAGCTTCCCAAATGGAGTGTCTTCCACCCAACAGAAGGTGTCCAGAAGAGACAAAACGCAGCAGAGAGTAGGCAGAGGGCAAAACCAGAGCCTTCCATCTTTCCTGGAATCTGGAGACCACAGGGGTTAGGAATTCAAAGGAAAGAAAGCATTACTTACTGATTTCTCCCTCTCATACCCGAAGAAGCCATGGGGTCATCAGGGACATGTCTTTCCCAGGTGACCACTAACTGAACAGCCTTGCCTGGTTCCAAACAGTCTGGCCCCCTTCATACAACTTACTAAGAAAAACAGCTGAGCCTCCTGTGAGAAAGTTTTTCAGGGTCTGAGTGTGAGTTGGTGGCACAAGGTCCCGGCTCCTTTATGTTGCCCCATCCCAGCCCCACTATCATTGTCCAGCAGGTAGAGCCTGGAGCAGCAGGCCTTTGCAGTCAGTACAGAAGATGACATTTCAGGGAAAATGTCAAAACTTGTTTTAGGGAATTGACTTACATAGCCTTAGAATGTCAATGATCACCTTTCTGGTCCCCTTAGACCCATGGGGCAACTGGAGAAAAACACTCTCACCAGAAACTACATCTATGACACCAAAAACAGTTGTGGAGAATTGTCTGGATTTCTGATCAGCCCCAGGGGCCAAAGAGCTTAGCCCTGTTGGCATTTGTCCGCGATGAGATTGGTTATTTGCGGATAATGGATTGATTTCAGCCCCGAGGGTAAACAGAAACTCAGTGATTTCATCACCATCCTGCTTCCGGGTCAAGGCAAGGCTCAGTGGGCACCTCGCTAACACCTAGCACGTCTCCTCCCTCGTGAGGCGCCTGGGACTCCACAGCGCCCTCTGAAGGACGGTTGCGGTCAGGCACTCCTGGGGCGAATCCAAGCCCGCGCTCTTTCCTGACCCCGCAGCTCAGGCCAGAGGCAAAGTGAATGAGCCCCAAAGAAACAGAAGAAAAGCAGTGAAAGAACTCATTTCTTCTTGAGGTGAGGCTGCTCAATAAGAGGGCAATTACAGTGCCTGCTGAATTTTAAAATAAAAATGATAATAGCCTGGGATTAAACAAACAAAACTCGCTGCCGTAGAATAGATTCAGACTCGCTGCGACCCTACAGCACAGAGTAGAACTGCCCCGTAGGGCTTCCAAGGAGCAGCTGGTGGACTCAAACTGCCGACCTTTTGATTAGCAGCCTAAGGATTAACCACTGAGGCACTCACCTCAGGCACACAATTTAAGAAGCCACCAAAAAACTCAGTCATCAAGATAAATAATATTTTAATACAATATTTTAAAAAATCAATATTAAAATAAAAAATCAAAGATGAGCAAAATATTATAATTTTAATTAAAAATGGTGTCATTATGAGCCATACTGAAACTCAAGGCAAAAGGAACAATGTGCATGCTATACACATATTTTTATGTATTTTAATTGCTAATCTTTCCGGAAATATATTATGAACATATTACTGATGACTTTGCTTTCCTTAGAGCCAGGAACCAACAATTGTAATAAATTCTATTTGGGTCATAAATAAAATATTTAAGCTTAAAATAATGTTATGAGTTATAATACACCTACTTTTCCATTTTTCAATATTTTTTTCAACTAAAGTTCTCAGAAGAAAATAACATACATATAACATACCATAAAATAACAGCATAGAAACACTTTTATAGGGGCACATATCTTTCCTTTTGCCCCAGGCTCCAGTATGGTTTTACACAGCAGCGATAATCTTCACCACTTACTGAAAACTTACTATGTGACAGACAATATGCTAGACACTTTATATATATATATATATATATATATATATATATATCCACTGGAAATGCTGCCAAACGTAGGAAAAGGGAATAAACAAACCAAACTCAGCAGTATCAGAGAGAACTTTAGTTCTGGAGAAAAGAGAACCAGGTCCAAATCCCTGCTCTACCATTCCCATCCATGGAAAGTGATCAACCATCATGGTTTGCCCAAGACTGAGGGGTTCCCAGGACCCGGGACTCTCAGTTTTAAAATGGAGAAGTCTCAAGCAAGCCAAGATGAGTTGGTTGCCCTATGTCTATGTGACTTTGGGCAAGTGAACGGCCCTCTCTGAATTTCATTTCCTTAGCCCCCAAATGATATTAATTACTCCTACCTCCAGGAACTTGTTTTGACATTTAAGTAGAATGATGTATAATATACACACCTAGCACATAGTGAGTACTCAATATGCGTTAGAGATTGATGTGAGCTGGTTTGAACATTTCTTGAGCACCCACTGTCCTGAATATAGTGTTAGGTATTGGAGTACAAAGATAAACATGACAATTCTTGTCCTCTAAGAAGTTTCTTTCTAATGGAAAAAGTTCCTTTACATATACTCAGGTGAACACACCTGAGTAAATCAGTTGGGAGGACTGAACTGATCCCCAGAATATAGTATATAGAGAGAAGAACTTCTCTTACCTGAGCTCAGGAAGTATTGCTGCTTCTGGTCTCCTGGGAGTCTGTCTTAAGCTAAAAGGCTTCCAATTGTTTATATACATGTAACATGAAGGAAGTGAGAGCTGGCAGGTGAGATCTGGAACTCCCTTGGAATTTCTCTGGTGACATTGCGCTTCCTTACATCCTGAAGCAGTGTAATTGCAGGACAGATTACCCCAACACCTTCCTCACCCTAGAAGTACTGCCCAAGGGGATTACTGGTTGTAACTGTGGATAAAGGATGTGCCTCCTTCTGGCTCCACCTTGCTTGGTACAATGAGAGTTAAAACAGAAGAGATCACTGAACTACAGGACTAGGAGAGAACTCTAGGAGGTGATTTTGCCCCCTCCTGTAAACTCAGCTCTCCTTAGCCAGGTTTCCCCCAGCTCCAGAAACCATGGGCTCACTCCTGCTCTTTCTCCTTTGTTTTTGCTATTCCTACCAAATGGAATGCTCTCCTCCAATGACCACATTTCTTTCCCCCATCCATCATTCAAGGTAGACCCAATCTTTCATTCCTCAGTGATTCTGGACCACACCAACCGCTACCCTCTGTAACTTCCAATAACAGAGTTTTCTATGGCACTTTAGAGCATACAACGTTGCCCTCTGTTTCATGGGTCTTTGCCTTTTCTTCTTCATGACACTGGAAGATTTTCTTGGATAGGGTCTAATTCATCATGTAGGACCACACTTCCAGGCAAGATTAAATTCAAAGCACCCGAAATGCACTACAGATGACTCCTTGAAAACTATCAAGATGGTAGAAACTATAACATATTCCTTTGAAACTTTTTTCCTACCCAATATCTAAAACTCTGAAGTTCTATATTTGAGTCCAAGGATTCCACAGTTTACAGGTTGACTTCAGCATATGATTTAATCTTTCTGGCTTTCAGTTTAGAAACCTGTAAAATGAGGGCTATAGAGTAGATAGTGTATAAGGTCTTCTCCAGTTCTGGCATTTAATGTCACTATGATTCTTTGTTCCTCTACCTTTTGGATCAGAATGCTCTTCTTAATGACTTTCAATGTCTTCCTAAAGTTCCCTGAAAATGAAGACCATGTCTTTTCATTACAATTCTTAGTAAATGTTGAAACAATGAGTGAATAATGTAAATATCTCTTGAACCATTTAAGCTCATTCCCGCTTTTTCATCATTTGTGCTAAGTGAACAATTTCTCATGATCACCCATAAGTGTAATTAAAGTAAAATTGGGAAATGTAGGCTGACAAGAATACTTGAAATCAAGACTTTCAGAAAATTGAGGCATGTATGCTGAGTGAAATAAGTCAATCACAAAAGGACAAATATTGTATGAGACCACTACTATAAAAACTCACAAAGAGGTGGGGCCAAGATGGCACAGTATTCAGATGCTTCCTGTGGACCCTCTTACAACAAAGACCATAGAAAACAAGTGACTCAATTGTATATGACAATCTAGGAGCCCTGAACATCTAAGGGAAAGTTGAGGAACTGGACTGAATGACAGAGGAGGAGACAGACGGTTCGGAAGCAGCAAGGAGTTGCCAGACCTGACCCGGCAAGAGCCTGAGTTCTTCAGGCCTGATCAGCTCATGGGTGAGCGGTGAGACAAGCAAGCAGCAGCACTCGGGAGGTGTATTCTTCACTGGTAGAGACCCACTTGCAGAGAGTCTACTCGGCCACCCAGAACCAGTGACAAGCAGCCCTAGATCAGTGAAAGATAAGTACTTGCGTACGGCCTACTGCACGGATCAAAAACACCCCCCTTAGGGAAAAAAAACCCTCTCCCATTTACCTCTCCATTCCCTGCTCTGCAATGGGTCCTGAACCAGCTTCAGCAATCTCTGAGTCCCCTGGGCTGGAAGTAGGATCCATCACATGCCCTGAGCCATTCTCCCAGCCTTGGAAAGTGAACAAATTAACAAAGAAGGCAAAAATAAACTGCCAGCTCTCCTAAGCCAGGAACCCAGGGTAGGCACCGGTCCTTTGCCTAGGCACAGGCATAAGGGATCCATGGACTTTGAATGCCTTTCACCCTGCAGAGACTTATGTGGGCCCATTTCAACAGCGTAGGCCCTCATTACCGCAGTATAACAAGGTATATAGATGAAGTCTAACTTGAACTGTTTCAGCTGTGAAGTGGCAGGTGGTGACATTTGACACTGCTCTGCCCATTAAGTAGGGTCTTCACCTACCCACATCAGGGACCTGAGGACTGGTGGCTCCACTCATGCCACCTAGCAACCTGCAATAGTGGCCCATTAATAAGAGGTACCCACCAGTCCTAACAGTCAACAGCATTGGGTGCTCTTAGTCCATCTGCAAAACCCACCCACCTACACGCTCTAGGGAACAAGGACACACCTTCCTCCTGGACACTCAGGGGCAGCCATCAGCCCCGTGCCTTGCTCAGAGTGTGTTCCCCTGCTGCAGCCTGATGCCTGTGCCTACACCAATCACCCATGCCTGTCTAGGACTGTAGGTGAGAGCCTGTATCACACACTTGGTGGCTATATACCTGGGCACCTGAGCTGAATCCATACAGGAGGAGTGGGTGGACTCCTGAGCTCACATACCTAGTAACACCTCTAACCACCTGCTCACAGGACATCAGAGCTTCAAAGGTGCCAATAATAAAACTAGGTCATACAAGCAGCCTATTTGGGCATATCAAAACAAAACAAGAAGCTAGGACACAGTAAGCAAACATAAAATAAATAAATATAATAAAATATTGATGGCTTCGAGACAACAGTCAATATCAAATCAAA